ACCGAACTGAAGCTTGAGCCATATCGTTGCTGTAAACCTTCTCCTCTGTCATTACCTGCGTTTCCCGTTGGTCAAGTCTTTGTAGTTGACCCCGGGGAGCTCCATCCAGATGCCAAGACTAATAGTCAGCATGGAGCCTTCCATTGCCTGAAGCGATGAGAGAGGGAACGCCATAGATTATACAGGTGAAAACAAAATGGCTGACTTTAAATCAAGATCAAAGTTTGTTACTTACATGCCAAGCACCCCCAGGTGTTCCCCTGCCCAGAACCAGATGTGGGATGTGTTGCTGCTTGTCCCTCCTCCACTGAAGGACAGAAGGGAATTTGTAGCCAAAGTCAGCATTAGGATGCAGGAGTGTGTCGAAAAGCACAGCCACCGGATTACTTGACCTCCCCTCAAGACCTTCACTCAGATATTCCAGATCCTGTAAAAAAATAAATATATAAATGAGGAAAGTCATGCCTATGAGGTACCAGACTGACTTTGGCCATTTTTAAATAAGCAAGGATTGGTAGTTGCTTTGTTTTTTTACCTGTTCGGTAATGGGTAGATGCTTGGTGTCCTGTAGTTTCCTGTATAATATTGGGTTTGGGTGGACAGTTGCTGGGTCTAAGTACGGCTTGTATCCACTCAGCAGGTAGGACAAACAAATACCCGATGGCCCGTTGCCTAAACATAAATCCACATTTGGGAAATTACAGGATAGCATTGCAAAGAGGCACAAGGTGATGTATAATACATGTTAGGTTGAAATGTGTGCTTTTTAAGCAGTTTTCAAACCTGCAATGAACATCTTGATGTTTATGGAAGAAGGTGCACATGACACAGAAATAGATGAACTGGCCACAAAACCTTTCTTATTGTGCCTACTCAGTGGTTCAAAGTACATGTGAAGAGGTTAAAGCTCCAGCAATACTTATCATACAAAAAACAACTATATTGCTTGAGTTTTTCATCTTGCTGCGTTTACAAAAAAGGAATGATCCTCACACAGGACCTCCCTATTCTCTTTTTTGTCTTCTGTGAAGAGCATCTTGTCCTGATTTTCCCAACTATTGATTTGTGCCTTAAAATGTGTGCATGATTGAAGGATGTATTAGTTATGTTAAACCAGTGAAAGGTCAGGCAAAAAGTTTACCTATGATGACCACAGGGACGGTGGGTGGGTGCTCTTGTGGCAGAGTGGTCTCTTCCAGGAGAGGCATGGCTGCAGCCTGGGCCAGAGCCGGCACTGAGGAGGACAGGAATAACAGAAATGTGAAGAAAGTTCTAGAAATTTCTGTAGCTGCGTCCATTCAGTAGTGAACTAAAAGCAGAGCCTCATTTGTTCTTTGTCCCACTGTTTCCATGCTTCTGGGTCAAATTATTTGAACAGGTTCAAACCAGCATACTGTCTTTTTGTCTGTCAGAGTTGTTGTTGTCTTATGTTAGCTTAGATCCTGTCTCCGTCGACCATCATCAGCTGACTCAGAAACACACACTGGGGGGGGGGGGGGCTTTATTCATCCTGTTATTGTGCTTTCACGCACAGCTATGGCCCTCCCTGTCTGTCTGGGGCTTCACACACGTGGAAACACCCCGCCACAACACAGCATGCCCCCAGTTTTTCTCATTGCTGTCCCGCCGTGTCCACAAACCCCACGTCCTACCGCACATGGCCCGGGGCAGAGCTAGCCTCTGTTAACCCCGGCACTGCTTTCCAGACAAAAGGGACTTCTAATCAGATTTATGTAGGCCTGGGTCTGTTGTGAAATGTAGCCGTTGAGCATGTGTACTGTGTGTTTGTGTGTTACGCGACAGTGCCATTGTGTGCCCGCCGGGCAGCAAATCCCCCCTGATCACTCCTCCGAGTGGGCCCTAATCCCACTGGGCCTGTTTATGTCTTTACCGCCCCTTTCAATGGCAGCAGGATGAGAATGTGGTCCTGGCATGCTGACAGATCAAATCATCAGAACACCCGCTCCTCTCATAGCCCCCCCACCTCCACCCCAATATACACACTCACGCTCACTCCCGCCAAAACATTACCCAACGGCTACAGCAAACCAGTGCCCACTTGCCCCACTTTCATACCAACCAAAACAGCGCCCACACTGCCTTTGTACATCCCAAAAGTCTGGCACATGTCCCTTAAAACTCCCCGCCGCCCATACAATCTGACTCAAGTCCAGTCTCCCCCTCTCTCCCTCCCCCCTGTCTGACCCGTGTCTATAGACCAACCAGTTGTCTTTGGTTGTCGGCTTATTTACCCTCTTCAATAAAAGCAACGGGATTCCACACATTGCATACCGTATCCATGCCCCCAGTTGGCAGACTGATACTGTTCAGGCCTCTGGTTGATCTGACAAAACAAAAACACCCGTGTGTGCAGTTGTTTTCTTTTGTTTGAAATTTCACGCACAAACCAGTGCTTATGTTATCCCACAGTGGATTTATGTTTGATTTTATCAACAGATAACAAATAAAACTGGACAAAAAAAATGTAAAAAGCCACTTCCAAGGGCTCACAGAGCACCTGTGCTCTATAATTTCTACATGATGCCACAGCAGCACATGATGCATCATGAGCAAATCATGGAGCTAGATCTGTGGGCTGCATTTACTGTATCTTTGTGATCAGATATAATGTCATTCAGTGCGCAAAAACAAACAAACAAACAAACAAACAAACAAACAAACAAACAAAAAACCCCAGTTCGGATAATCCAAAAACGCCGTTTTAAGTTCAGTGAAACTTCGACAGCACAAGTCCTTAACACAGAACAGACCAACATCCATAGTTTAAACGTAATAATAATACGCCCCAGGTGTTAGTGCGCTTCATCCTTTTGGGGTTTGTTTTACTCTCTTCCAGCCCGTGTACGCGCCTACGTGTGCGCGTTTGCCAGCGTGTAGGACGCACCATACTTTTCTAGAACATGGTGCACGATGTACTGTTAGCTACCTACCACAAACAACTGAAACTTTGTGTTAAGCCTTTACAGCTTCACAGGAATGGAATGAAAAGCATGCTAAGAAATATTAGTGTGTATAAACCCTTATGTGTACACTACGTCTCACAGCAGGTTTAACTACACCCTCCTCTTTGCAACTTGAGATCATTTTGCACGGACCAGTCTGCATCTCACTTAAGAAAATTAGATTAAATTCAAAACAGGGCCGGGCTGGTTATACACGGTATCCGGGGATGATGCTGCAGCACGCGCTAAAGGATGGAAAGAATGATGCAGCAGTCTGGTACCCGATCGCAAACACCATCCTCATGGACCAGCAGCCTTATATCTTCCACTACACCGCTGACTCCGGGAAGCCTGCGTCCACTGAATCTCAACGAGCACATGCTACAGCCGCTATTACACCATTATTGCATAATTTAGGTCAAACATACACATGCGGCCACCCGCATCACTCAGTAACAGGATCTCTTACCGAGCTGTGATGTGTGTCAGTATCTCCCGGTCTCGTCCAGTTATCACGACCCACGGCAGCGTTTCAAATCGTATAAATAGCCAGACACCGGTGGGAGGACCTACCCAGCTGTCTGGGGTCTTGTGAGAGATAATAAGCCAACCTCTCTTTCGTCATCACACACACACACACACACACACACACACACACACACACACACACACACACACACACACACACACACACACGAACAGGCACGCACACACACAGCCTTACCTCCGCGAGGTTAAATCCGAGCAGACTTGGTGTATGCAGATCTGATCGATGTGCAAATGTCCACTGAGGGGGGAGATCTTCTGTGTGCCTTGGTGGCAGAGTGTGAAAGAGAGAAACTGCGTCTTCGTTTTCGTCGTCACATGCGCATCTCTGCACCGCCGCGCGCGAGCGCGCTCACGGGGGAGAGCTGGAAGATCAGAGCATCTCTCTCAGCATCCTCGCAGCTCCGCCGACACTGCTGCCCGCTAGGTGGGCTTACCTGAGAGAACAGTTTTATTTATAAGACGTGCACTGCTCAAATGTAGGACAGACAGTGATCCCTGCTACAGCTGCATATTATGGTCTGCCTTTATTATTTAAGGACTTAAATATCAAATCTGGCTTTTACAATTTGAATTTTTTTTATTGAGAATGGTTTTGGTTAGAAACTTGCATTTTCTTGAAGTTTTAAAGGTAATATTCAGTGCTGTAGGTCATAGTTGCCAGATTTCTGGACAATACAGCCTGTGTGCGTTTTAGGTTGTGACACACCTATTTTCAGTTACTCTAGATGAAAAACTACATTTATTTTATTATTGTAACGATATTATTATTTTTACTGTTATCACTATTAAACCTTTATTTAAATAGGTTGTCTCAGTGAGTCTCAGATCTCTTTTTCAAGAGAAAACTGTCTAGGACCAAAGCACATAGAGACATTACACAATCTTGTGAAAAACAAAGTACACCCTCTTACATTCCTTAATGTTTAATGTATCAGGACATTTTAAAATAAATCTGATTCTTAGCAGGTCCTAAAATTAGGCAAATACAACCTCAGATCAACACCAAGACGCGAAACAGTGTTATTATTTAATTTAAAAAATGCAGAAAGCAGTGTGTGAAAAATTGAGTACACCTTTACTACCTTTATAGGGATATAGCATAGTAATAAATAATCCTTAAAAGTTTATATATGTCCTCAGCAGATAAAAAATGCACTCATAAAACAGGCTTAAAAATAAATTCATACAAATCAATAAGTCATTCGTCATCAGTTTTTTGTACTAGTATTTGTTGACCAAGCTCATTCTGAACCAGTATGTGGCAAAGGCAAAAAAAAAATAAAATAAAATGTTGGAAGAATAGATTTTATCCTTTTGTTAAAAATATATACAAACAATTTGGCTTTTTAAATTTCTTTTAACAGCTTGCATAATCACTTATAAAACCGCTGATTCTCCCTCTGCTCTTAAGATAAAGGAAACGTCCATTTGACACATCCCTGGTTAAGGTGAAGTTGATTCACAGTTAGTGAGAATGGGAGCCCCGCCTCCCCGCTTCATCATCCAATAAGCGGAGAGAAAAGAACCACTACTTCCTGTCCCCGATCCAAACACATGTACGTATGCTAGCAGTTAGCTTTGGCGAAAATACTTCTTAAGAGTGGCAATAAGTGCCACTGAAGATGGTTCACATCACTAGGATCTGCTTACGGAAGGTGAGTGCTATAGAAGATTTGTACTCTGAATGTCACATATTTAACGGGGGATATTATACGGTTTTTGACATTAGCTGGAAAGCTAACTGTCAACGCTAAATACACCAAGCAGTAATCGTGTTTGTCTCTCATGTGGTATGTTAGATGATACACCAACTATCTCTATAGCTATTGCACATGAGCAGCCTGCTGGAGATTGTTTGTAGGGTTCTGCCAACTCTCCTCCTCACACAGAGGGGCAGACACCAGTCCTGCTGTTGAGATGATGCCCTGTCCAGCTCTCCTTGAGTAAATATCAATTTCCTGCTGTCTCATCCACACTCCTGATATTGTGCTGGGAGGCGTGGCTAACCTTTTTTGTGGCTGCACATATATGAACGTGCCATCCTCGAGGAGTTTTTGAGCACTCTAGTTGCTCATCAATGCGCCACTGATCAATACACCTGTCAACCCAGAACAGCTTTCTGTATAGACTACGTCATGTTACCAAAATAAAGTACATACACACAAATAAAGTACATCAAGTAAACAGTAAAACAACAATAAAGCCCCTATAGACTATACATAGGCACATATTTGTATATTTAAACTCATATATAAAATATATATGAGTTACTGTTTAGCTTGAGTGGACTGAAGAAAATAGGAAGGATGCTCAAGCTGCTGTCAGATTTCATTATTCTTGTGAGATATGTAGGTCGCACTCTGGTAAATGATGTCAGTAAAACTTTTGAAAGATTCAATCACTTGAAGTTGCCTGTTAGGATCTCTGGTGTTCTTCGATTTCTTAATACCAGTCTGTGTCTTTGACTCTTTGCAGTATGGAAACTTTGTTGACAATCTGCGGCTGTATGTCCGTGGAGGCAGTGGAGGGATGGGTTTACCCCGCCTTGGAGGTCAAGGAGGGAAAGGGGGAGATGTTTGGGTGGTGGCGACGAAGAACATGACCTTAAAAAGGATAAAGGACAAATTCCCACAAAAACGTTTTGTAGCGGACGCAGGAGCCAACAGCGGGTAGAAATACAATTTTTATTTTAAATTCTGTCGATCATTAAAAAATGTCTATTTTTCAGACCTTCATAGAGGTTTTGAAATAGTCCTGTAAGCACGAGAGGGTGAGAGCTGTTTGGATCTCTTTTATCAACAGCGTTCGAGCTCTGAAAGGAGAAAGAGGGGCAGACAAGGAGATCCTTGCTCCTGTCGGTATCACCGTCACCACTGATGAAAGCAGAACACTCGGTACGTCAAATCTTTCACAGTCAGTCATGTGAATCTTGTTTTTTCTAACAGAAAAAGAACTGCCAGTGCAGTAGCTACCTGACTTTTGCTGTGAAGCTTCTTATTTCCTCTACCATTCTTCTTACAAGGTGACTTGAATGTGGAGGGCGATCGTGTGATGGTGGCAAAAGGAGGATCAGGAGGCTCGCTGTACTCTGCGTTTCAGCCCAGTAAAGGCGAGGCTAAACACATCAGACTGGACCTCAAGCTTATAGCAGACATGGGCCTTGTGGGGTGAGAATAGAGGGGGAACAAACCACACTAACTGAATTCTGCTGAGGTTCAGATTAGCAAAGGGGAACATCTGATTTTGTTCTGTTAAATCAACACCAGGTTCCCGAATGCAGGAAAGTCCTCTCTGCTGACAGCCTTGTCTAACGCCACGCCTCAGATTGCCAGCTATGCTTGTGAGAAGACAACCACACGCATATAGAAAAAGAAAACGTGTCTTTTTTTTAAATTCTAAAAATATGCTTTGAAAGAAGAAATAATTCTGTGTTTCATTAAACTTTAATATTTTTCTGCCGTTTCACAGTCACAACCTTGAAACCAGAGATTGGCAAACTGATATATGACGATTATAAGCAGGTACAAGAATTCCACGTGTTGCCTTGTGCTGTAACTGTCTGCGAAAACATTTCTTTTTTCTTTTTACTTGGCTTACTTGATTGTTTGCTCTTTTTTGGGGGGGCGGGTGTAGATTTCTGTTGCTGATCTCCCTGGCTTGATTGAGGGGGCTCACATGAACAAAGGCATGGGCCACAAATTTCTGAAACACGTGGAGAGGACCAAGCAGCTGTTATTTGTGGTGCGTAACTAACACAAACTGTTTTTGCTTTCGGTGTAACCAGGTGAAAATTGCTTCTGATGACAATTTTGCATTTTGTCTGAATGCAGGTCGATGTTTGTGGTTTTCAGCTGGCAAGTAAAACACCGTTTAGGTCAGCCTTCGAAGCTGTGCAGCTTCTAACCAAGGTGAGCCTGAAGCTGCAAAGGCTGATGACTAGTTTTTAGATATTCATTCTGATCTCCTGACTCAATCTTCGCTCCTTTTATTTATTTTTTTGTCCCTCGTTCTCCTCTGCTTTCTGACTGCTGCCTAAAGGAATTGGAGTTGTATAAAGAGGAGCTTTTGTCAAAGCCTGCATTACTGGTGGTGAATAAGATGGACCTGCCTGATGCTGAGGACAAGCTAGCAGAGCTGAAGGAGCAACTACAAAACCCAGAAGGTTAGACTAGAATTAGCACTTATGAGTAGAAAAATCATTTAGGAGAAAAGACTGAAGACGGATTTCTACTTCCAGGGTTCACAGGCGTCCTAGTCTGTTCCAAACATTTCTCTGGCTCTGTCTGAGCCATGCCGTTTGCTCTGTCAGATATCGACACAAGCGGCATGATGACTTTTTCGTTTTCATGCATCTGAACTTCCTTTATGTGAGCATATTTTTGCAGTTTGTTGGGAGGAAAAATTGGTTTTGAGAGTATTTCTGTTCCTTTTCTTTCCCCTGTACAGAGTTCTCTGATCTGCTCCCTGAAGATATGATACCACAGAACTATTTGACCTTCAGACACGTGGTTCCCGTTTCTGCAATCACCGGGTTTGGCATCAGCCACCTTAAGAGCTGCGTTCGACAGTCCCTCGATGAAGACGCAGCCTTAGAAGTTAAAGCCACTCATCGAGAAAAGCTGCAAGCACTGAGGAAGCAGTCACAAGGACGTGCGTGAGTAACGTAGACGACATCAAGCATCATCACGCAGGACTTTGCAGATAAACATCCTCTACCACGAAGCTCCTGGGAGAGCAAAACCACTTCAATTTATACAAGTGATGGAGGTCTCTGCTTGGAGATGATCAAATTCTCACTGACTGATGCAAACTCCATCTTTATTTATTTAAAAGTGATGTGTTGTATAAGGCTGATAAAACTTTGTGAATATCATAGAAATTCACAGGCTGGTGCATAAAAGGATTCTAGTCAAGATGACTACATTAAATGATAAATACAATATATTCAGTTTCATACTACGATTTAAAATGTTTTTATTATTATCGATTTATGTTTTGTGCATACTCAGCTGCATCGTCTGTTTCACTTTAAATGGGGGCATAATCTACAATTCAAAGAACATGCAGTGTTGCAGAAAACTTGAAACTAGCGATTTAGGCCATAAACTTATTAGGAACATGTTAACTGAGATAGTTTGTTTGCTGTAGGCTTATATAGAGTCTGATTTAATTTGCAACCAAGCAGGAACCTCAGTAATGACCAATTGAGGCTGGCTCCAGCAGTGAGTCAGTCATCACAGACTCCCACGTTAAAATGCTCAACAGCAGTAACACATCCTGATGCAAAAATGGGTTTTGTCCTCATTGTTTCCCCCTTCAAAGTAATTCCAGTGGGGGTGAATCTTTGCTATAACTAAACAGTTTCATCGCTGATAAGACCTAAAGGTAAGAGTTTGGTTGCTTTGCTTGGCAGGTGTACCGACACAGGTAACCCGTTCCTTTCCACTTGGCCTCATTTCCGCTAATTTGAGTGACTGAACTGGATCTCCTGACTGTTTTTCGATCAGTCATATGGTTTGCTGTGAGGTACAGCCTGGGCTAAGGGTTCACTCAACTTTTTGACAGGGGGAAATTTTAGTTTTTATAAGGATGCGAGTTAAAATGAGCAAATAAACTTGAAGCAAATTTGTGTTTGGTGATTTTTGGTTTTATTGCTAGCAAACATTTAGTACAAAGATGTAATCGATTTAACAAATTTCCTTACTTTTTGTGCTAAGTTTACATGCGTCTGTGCAGTGCACCCATGTAGTTTCTGGGTGCACATGCTAGCATTGCATGAGAAAATACAGTAGTACTAAATATGGACACTCCAAGCTCCAAAAGAAAAATGCAAGTGTCAAGTACAAAACCAGTAGATGATATCTTACCGGCCGTGTATGTTGTCTTTAACTCATTGGTCACCTTATTAGGTACACCTTGTTAATATCAGGTTTGACCCCCTTTTTAATTATTAGTAGCTTTCAGTACTGCTTTAATTCTTCATGGCAGATTCAACAAGATGCTGGAAACAGTCATCAGATTTTGCTATATATTGTCATGACAACTGCTGCAGATTTGTTGGCTGCACATCCATGATGTGAATCTCCTGTTCCACCACATCTCAAAGGGGATCAACCTTATTGAGATCTGCTAACACAAATACTCAGATGGACCATGGGGTTTGAACAGTGCTTGGGGGTTGCCCAAGAACACTGAGCAGGTCCATGCTTCCATGCAGTTTATGCCAAATTGACCGTACTGTCTGAATGTCACAGTAGAAATCGAGCATGCATTGTTTAATCTCTTGTTGAATTCTAGTAAGCTCTTTTTCTTAGCTGACAGCAGTGGCACTTCATGCGGTCTTCTGCTACTGTAACCCATCTGCTTCAAGGTTTGATGTGTTGTTCATACAGAGATGCTCTTCTGCATACCTTGGTTTGGTGTGCTCTGACTGCTGACAAAGACATTTAAGCCCAGAGAACTGCCACTCACTGGATATTTTCTCTTAGTCAATCCTCTGCAAATTCTCAAATGGTTGTTGGGAAAATCCCAGTAGATCAGTTATTTGTGAAATACTCAAACCAACACATCTGGGATCAATAGCCATGTCACATTAAAAGTCACCTAAGTCACTTTTCTTCCCCATTCTGTTTCAACTTCAGCATTCATCTTGACCATGTCTACATGCATTGATCTGCTGCCATGTGATTGGCTGATTAGATATTTGCTTTAACAAGCAGTTTAAGAGATGTACCTAATAAAGTAGCCAGTGCATGCGTGTCTTTGTGATGACAGAAAATTGGCATGCCACTATACTTGTGGGGACCAACAGTGACTTATGGGGACAAAGTGCCCGTCTCCACGAATTTGAAGGCATTTTTGAGACTCAAAATGTGGTTTTATTGTCAGGATTACATTTAGGTTTAGGGTTAGACATTCATTTTTGATGGTTAGGGTAAGCATTATGTCAATTAGATGTCCTCACTAAGGTGTGTGTGTGTGTGTGTGTGTGTGTGCGCGTGTGTGTGTCTGTCTGTCTGTCTGTCTGTGTGTGTGTCTGTGTGTGTGTAAATATATGGTCTATAATTTGCAACCAGTGGAGTCAGGTTTCTTTTAAACCTACAGACTATGATGCTCTTACAGTCTGATTTTCGGGTTACCCCAGTCTGTACCTCAACACAGGGTAGAGATGTAAAGCATACTACAGTATATAAAATGCTAAGAGGCCGAGGAGTATTGTGCAGAGTGACTTAAATGTTTTGATAACACTGAGAATTAAACTGTCATGTAACCCTCATTCAGCTGAATCAGGTTTTATTAACTGGTTATCAAACCATCCTGGGAAATCAGAAGATAATAGAAATGTCTGCACAGACAGAGGTGTTGATGAAAGTTTTATTTTATATTAAATATATTACAATACTGAATGATAAAGAGGAAAAAATATGGGGATTTTTGCATCATCAGTCTGTACAGCATACAGGCAAATTAAAAAATAAAAAAAGACAACTGCAGTGTCTGAATTAGTACATATGGGGCTCTTTAGGGTTCCTGGAGCAGAGTGCTGATGATTCTGGTGTGATGGGAACGCATGGCTGAGACTGGGTGGTACACAAATACATTCAAGTCTCTGGCCAGACAGCTGCTCTGCAGGGATCGGTCAGTCCAGCTGTGTGCGGAGGCAGATATGTTTGGAGTAACACCTGTACAATCACACAAATCACTACTGCCTGCCAAATCACTACTGCCGTCCTCGATGGAGAATCCTGTAGAGTTTTGCCCAAGGCACCAGGACAAATGTCTCGCTGCTGCACAGTATTATGATGTTAGAAACATTTGTAAGGAGCTCAGAAATGATGCTCTCCCCAGCCTGGGGAAGCCCAGAAAGATCACTGGGCCGCTGGACACCGATAGTAAGACCAGAGGAACAAAAATAAAGAAAGTTCTGGTAGAAGGCAAATCATGAGCCCAGACAGCAACATGTGTCCAAACCTTACATCAGCACGTAGCATCGTATCAGCACATGCGTAAGGAACAACAGCTTCTATTGGCCCCAAAGGACAAAGGTGATGAAACGAAATGCTCTCCATCAAACTCATCAACCCACGTAATTACAATAATGCACTTAATTAATGTTTAAATAGCTGCTGTACATAATGCTGAGGGGGAAAAGGTGAACATTACAAAGGTACTTAATAAAAAAAAGATACTAGTAGCAATATTAATCCAATATTGTGAAGCTCATATTACCTATACAGTCCTAATGCATACATGAATTACAAATGTAAAAGTGCCCACACTGGAACAAAAGCTAACAACAGTAAAATGACAAACATGAGGCCTTGACACAACAGTTTCTCCACAGTGTAGAGCACTGACTGTACAAAGAACTTGTTGGTGAGCGGGATTTGCATCCAGAAAAAAAAAGAAACCACCTTAAATAATTACACTGGCACGACAGTTAGCTTCGAACCACCTGCCATGAGCTTTACAAGCAACTGTGGTACACAGACCCATTAAAAACAACAGGAAAAGGCAATAGGGGGGAAAGACTCATCCGGTGACATGCTCATTTCCTGTTATGACCTCATAAAGAGCCTACCGGCGAAATAATCTGATATAGATCTGTCATGCTGTTGGGTCTTCGTAAGCTCGAACAGCAAGCACTGTACAGCATAGTTAATCATTTACAAGGCTAAATATCTCAGTCGTCACAGCTAAATTCAAAATGCGCATTTCAGTCAATTTCCAGATGCTGGCTGAGGCGGGTCACCAGCCAGATGTTCAATTACTCACATTCAAGTGGCTGCCACTGGAAAAATGGGAGTGCAGCCGTCTCAAACACACAAACACCTTGTCACCATCATTGGGAAATTTTCAGGAAATTCCGTGAGTGACAAGCGGCACATCTATAACTACGCCAAACACATCTCGTCCGTTCGTTTCACTCGGGAACGGGACGTAAAACTAATAAAAATGTAGCTAAATTAATATCGATCGAGAACGGTCTTAGCGACGCTCTTATTAATGTGCCACAGTCAACATCGCTGGATGTCTGTGTGTGTGTCTCACAGAGATGCATGAAAATAGTGGCTAAGGTAAAAAATAAACACACATTCTGCTGTGGATGGAGAAGGCTATACAGGTCACAGTCACAGAGCGGGAGAAACCCAGACTGCAGGGTCTCTGAACTTATCTACAAATCAACAGGAAACAAAGAAATGCCTCTCTCTCTGTCTTTTTGTCTTTCAAAACAAAAGAAAACCCATACTCTTGTGTGTATTTTACTGTACATATTTACACACAAACCAAAGGGAGGAACAGCAGAGTGGGGTCCATGTTGCGGTGATACAATATGAGTTACCTTTAGTGGAGAGAAAGCATTAAGCCTACAGACGTTATAAAATCACAGCCCCATTTGCATGCTTTCCTTTCGGGTCAGACCGCTGTCCGTCTCGTCTTTTCGGTAGGAGGGAGTTGCCGATAAACACGGTCGTCTCATGCATACAGTGTTGGCGTTTCTACAGTAATTCACGTCAAAATGATCCGACGCAGATCCGGCGATGGCCTGGCTCCCACAGCTCCTTTCAGAGAGGAGCCTGTACAATTCAGATGGGATGATGCTGAAGTGAATACGACATGAGACAAGCTAAAGAGGGGTAAGGGTGGTGTGGGGGTTTTGGGTGGGGTTGTGTCGCGTTGGTGAAGCTTTAAGCAGACAGCAGGAACAGCTCAGTCTGAGCTCCAGCTGGTCTGGAGAGGATGTGGAGCTGGTGTCTCTGCCGGGACTCCACATCGTCACGTAGAGATCCACTGAATGAGGCTGTTTGGCAATACGGCCTCGCAGATGCTTGGTCACATTAACTCAAACTCAAACTCTGCCTGTTTCCTGTCCAGTGGGTGGGTGGGGCTCTCTCTTTTTCCTCTTTAGTCGCTTAGAGTCAATTTTGTATCATTTTTGTGTTTGTTCATTCA